GGTTGGAGTCTTGAAAGCGCATCGGCTATGATGCATCTTCTTTCCAGGAACATGCTTGATCTCCTTGAAGTGGAATCTCATCAGTCGTATTCTAAATCTTTGATTTCTTGGTGGAAGTTGATCCAGTGTGTGAGTACTCAGAAGTGGCGCCAGGGGTTTATGGTCTGTTTCCACAGAGATTGATTTTCCCACAATGTACTCCCAGGATCGTTCGCATGCCCATGTGAGCGCTAGGGCTTCTTTTTCGATTTGTGCATATCTGGTTTCAGTGGGCGTCATCGCTCGCGATATGAATGAGACTGGTCGCCAGGAGTTGTCAGGTTGGAGTTGAAGAATTATCCCACCCAGGCCAAAGGATGAAGCATCAGCTTCCACGTTGGTTTCCTTGTTTGGATCGTACAGAACCAATACTGGAGCTCGTGTGAGGTCAGATTTGATGTGCTCAAATGCTTTCTGTCACTTCCCCATGTCCATTGGCTCCCGTTGTGAAGAAGGCCTCTGATGTTCTTTGTCTTGTCAGCGAGGTGCTCGGAAAACTTGCTTAGTTGGTTCACCATGCCAAGAAAGGTCCTCACTTCTTGCACGTCTGAGGTGGCGGTAGGTCTGCAATTGCTTGTAGCTTTTCAGGATCTGCCTTAATTCCACTGAAGCTTAAACTGTCTTGACTCTGAACTTGACTCTGTCTGTGCTGAACTGGCATTTGTCTAGGTTGAGTGTCATGCGAGCTTCAACCAGACGCTTGAGTACTGCTTCTAACCTCTGATCGTGTTCAGTCTCGTCTTTGCCATGGACTAACACGTCATCTATGTTGCACTCCACGCCATCTAATCCCTGGAGGATCTGACTAATATTCTTGTGGAATTTCTCGGAACCAGAACTGATTCCGAAGGGCAACACATTGAAACAGAAACGGCCCCATGGAGTGATGAATGTTGTCAATGGTCTCCAACATCCTGTCTAACTCTTCCTTTGTTTTCTGATACAAGGGGAAGGGCACTTTCCTTGGAACTGACACTTGGAAAGGTTTAGCATCTTCTTTGAGTGTGATACGGTAACTGTTCTTCATGACACCTTCTTCCTTCGAACAACTTGGGGTACTTGTCGGCTACTTTACTCTTGTGGTCATCACTGCTCAGGCTGTCAAGTCTGCTTATCAGCTTTAGAAGTTCAGCTGGCTTTCTTCGTAGCAAAGGTCGCGCCAAATCTTCTATTGCATACACTTGCTCCTTAGCAATCTTATCTTGCACTTGCAACTCTGCTATGAAAGTTCGTAGACAGCTCAGTTTCTGTTTACATGGACCCATGAGTAGCCTCTTGGTCCTGCTAAGAGATGGAACTGGCTCGTTCAAATATTACGTTTCTCTTTACCACAAAATGAGCTTCAAACTTGCCTTTCACCACGTTTACTGCTTTGCTTCTTCATTTGTCATTCCGAATAACAGTACGACGTCGTCAGCTTCTTCTCCCATCGAATAAATCAAAGTATTCACTCGGCTCTCGCCGTCCTTTTAGTGAAGTCCAGTCGCTTTTCGAAATCGTTCGAAACACTTGATCCAACGGGACCATTCTTCGGGTTTGAAGTTGAACTTTTCAGGTGGTGGAACTTGGTAACTCGCCATGGGTATCTGTTGAACCATGGCCTGCTGTACAGCTACGGCGACGTGTGGTTGTGCGGCGTGAGCGCCAGGTTCGTTTGGTTCTTCAACTACTTGAGGTTGTTCAGCTTGAATTCCGGCCTCTTGTGCACCTTGGTATCCCATGTTTCCGTTTTGTCTGATTCTTCTTCAGTTTAAAGGCTATTGGGAACTTCCCGCTGCCACCATGTCGAGTTATTTGGGCTTACGATAGTCTTCAGTGAACAACACGTGTTTACTTCAAGACGCCATCTTTAATAACCCACATGCATCTCGCACCTAACTAACTTGAACAATACTTCATGTAAGCTAACACAACATTTGTCTCACACTGTTCATGTAGTAACACAACCGCCCACCCTTACTTCAGCGAGCCATACAACAAGAAACAATGTAATAGCTGAGGATGTAGGTCTTATGACTTACCTCATGGCAGAGCCAGCTATTCTTATGGCCTTCATCTCTTTCTCCTTCCCAACAGGTTCCATATTAGAGTTTGCACTTGAGAATGTCGCGTTAAGTTTACAAGGTACCATAATGTTAGATTTTTTTCCATCTGTCAGACAATGGCAAAATAAACCTAATAACAGTCATGATGCCCCAGCATTTTATTGTTTAAACTTAATATATTTTAATGGGAAGTTTCAACAAGAGATCCAGTTATGACCAGGCTGATTGTAGAAGTTTATGCCCACTACAAGAATAATTATCATTACAATATTACAATTTTACCTTCTCAGTATCACAGCAAGCTGGCTAAAAGCACCGGTTCAGTTGATTTTAAAACCATACCCATTAAAACAAAACACTCTATATGCAGCTATTTAATAACCATCATGGTGCTAGCATGTTTTTCGTTTGTTTGTTTTTCTTTTTAATCTGTCATGATGCTCACTGTCACATATGTTTTACTGGGAGGTTTCAATACGAGATGCAATTATGACCAGGCTGATAACTTAAGTTTATGTCTACAATCACATTGGATTTGATTTGATATTTCTGTTGATTTTAATAAAACACACTCCACATGCATGCAGTTCTCTTAATCTCCCTCAATAGCACTTTCAAGCGTTTGGAGTGAGTACAGGCCTAAGAGAGACTGCGCCAACAGGGGACTTTCAACCGGAAACACATAGAAATCAGCATGGTCTTCTCTAACCTGCGATCAGGCGTTCTCTTTTTCCTGCCCCCTGATCCCTTGAAAGAATCAGCTGAACGTGTCTTCAATGAAGTACACCACATAAATTAAGCAGTCAAGTTTAATTTTTTTATCATAGTTTCTTATACGTAGTTTTTAAAACACGTTTCAGAATAAAAACTAGCGATCGGCCAATTTCACGCGAAGGCAACTTGAGGAACTAGGCCGCAAAATTGGAATTGATATTCGCCCCGTGTATACAAGCTGTAAGATCGGACACGAGATCAAACCAAAAGAAAAGAAGCCGCCTATCATTAACCAGCAACGCGTTGTTTACTACTACAAGTGTGGTTTGTGCGATGCAAACTATGTCGGGTATACGTGCCGACACCTCTATCAGCGCGTTGAGGAACACAAAGGATCGTCTTCAACCGGGAATCACATTAAAAAGCAACATGGAACAGTCCCAAATGACATATATCGTGATTTGAAGATTTTGAGAAAGTACCAAAGTAAATTCGACTGCCTGATCTACGAAATGCTCTTTATAAAGAAGATTAAGCGAACTTTGAACAAACAGTCAGATTCAATCCGTGCAAAGTTATTTGTATATATTTTTTATTTTATTTTATAGTATTTATTATTTTAACACTTTTTATCGTTGGACATTCTCACGCCCTAATTTATACTTATGTATATTTCATTCGCTTTTTCTACAACTTGAAAATGATCTCAGGGAGATCGAAACGTTTTTTATCGCTAGTTTTTATTCTGAAATTATAGTTTCTACTACACTAATTTCATCATAATCAATCGCCAATCTCCAGCTACGTTATGGATTCTTAATTCTATAGCATAAAGACGTTCATTAGAGACCCAACCCTCAGCTTTGAATGAGTGATATTTTGATTGATATGTTGATAATCAAGTCCATGGCTGATTGTGGTTAACGAGTGGATACATAACGAGCCAGACGTTCTTAGCAACCAAAAAACAGACCTGGGATCCCGTGGAGATGTAGAACTTTTAGTCCTACGTCTCCACGGGATATCCAGTGGCTTACAACATTCCAGTGTAATCATATCCCTGTCGGTGATCGTTTATGTTNGGCGAAAAAAACTGTTTCTCCGAAATTATACCGCACCGTTTGGATCAAGAGAGGCCTCTTTGGAAAGCACTTTCAAATTAAAGCGCTGGGAAGGACAATACTTCGAATATAAGTCATTTCTCTGCATAACTGATTAATTCACATGGGATGCCATGGCTGCTAACAAGAACTGCATTCTAACACGCTCGAAAGTCGTTTCTAGAAAATAACTGAACAGATTAAAGCGAGGAATAT